TCGAAACATATTACGCAGGCACACCTACTTGAGTTTAGTCTCAGGAGCATTTCGCCGATGTACTTGGTCTAGGACGCTCGTGCTTTTTGAAACGTTTTGGCTCAGAAAGGTATTTTTTTGCGTTTGCGCTAGCATGCCAAAAATTTGGTGGAGATTAATTAGCATCTCAATCTTCGAAGTTTACTTGTTTCTCTTCTTTGTCTGTAGTCACCACCCGCGAACACTTGATCGACAGCTTTGACGACAATACGAAAAGCCTTGTTGTGCAGTTGCGTCTTCCACTCCAGTAGGATACCCTGTTAAACTTATCGCGTCATTGCTTACTCGATTCTTGCGCTTGCCTATCTGTTTAAAACTGTCCGGCGATCTTCATCCTCACTGATCTCAAGAATTTCGAGGGCTATTGCCGTATTATCGACTGCTTCGCTTGGTCGGTCCATTTAATCCCCAATATAAGCTTGTTGAAGGTGAAGTAGCAACTAATCACCACTTGTCCGGTATCGATATACAAACTCGATAGCCTTTCGAAGATATTCAATCGCCCATTAAAAATTTAACACGAACCTTCCGAAACAACTTAAGATGTTTTGTTCGGTGGTAAATGCACGCCTAACACCTTAAAATGAGCATGTGCTGAATGCTTGGATTAAAATTACAGACGATCCCGTATGGAGTCTTGCAATGCAAACCAATAATAAAAATGAATCGAGATTAAGGCGCTTCGAATTACAAGCAAGGCCACAGCAAAAAGAAGCAGATATTCAATGACTTTATCTTTGACTCTTTGTCTTTCACTAGCAACGCCATAGAAAGTCTTAAACCGCTCTATGTAGATTCTTTTACAAAGTAAGGGCAGCAACAAAACCTGGAATTATCGTATAAGAAATGGGCAGTAATTGTGTTCATGTTGAAAAGGGTAATTGCGTGTTTTCGCCGGCTTGACTTATACCACTATCCAGGGCCAAGTGACAGGCCGATTGATTTAGAGTAGGAATACTTTCGGTTGGTCAGGGCGAGCTGATAGAGTACAAAGGCCACAAAGGAGATCATTATGGAATTGGCGGAGCTTTTACAGGACAATCGTGTAACTATCACAAAGTGCTCGTTCAGACCATACATATCAGCTAAAACCACCTTTTTTACGAACCAATTTTCACTTCTTCACCGTGTACTTCAGCGGAACGCCATCAAGTGGCGCTAGTACTTTTTAAATTGGAGTCTACATAAAATTGCTCACCGACTGAGATGGCAATCCATTTTGCAGGGATAGCAAGATCATACTGGGAAATTACAAAGGCGATGTGTGGAGTACGACATTTTGCACAACCACTTAACGGGCTGATCGGTCAGTAGATCAAGAGATTTTTATAGAGCGGGCTAAAACATCTATGGGAGAAAATAACACTTCAGTATGGAGGGCTTTGCAAGCTTTCTTTTCTCAAATTAATGTCAAGCGTATGTAGATGATGCAAACGGTTACGGACGCCACACTTTGTCAAAATTTGTTTTACTATGTAACTGACGACTGCCTCGTCCTGACAAAAGTCGACGACTTTTTTGCACAAACATTTGGAATTCTCGGCGGAAAAACGGAAACCGTAACGGGGTGAGCCTGTTGCACAAAATTTACCCCTGGCGTTTGTAATCAGATTGTTGTCACAAAGGTTGATATCGCTCGTTAGTTTTACCATGGTGGGTTATATGTTGAAACACTCACCTATTGGCTGATATATATCACCGTTACTCACAGCTCTAGCGGTTCAATCGACGATGAAAGCGCGCAATGGATGATGAGCAGGACAAAATCATGAATCTGGTGGGTGATTATACTTGATTCAAGTCTACAAAGATTAATGAATAGGATTTGATTATATTAAGTACGGTTTATAAAGATATGTCAATTAGTCATTTTTATGCTTTTCCTTCCTAAGCATGTTTTACAATGGCACTGAGGCACCACTAAGATTGCTGTAGGTGAGAGAATCACCACACTGTTTGTATGTCGTGTTTTTCTGGTAGTCTGTTACTTCTGGTAGCATTAAAACCTGGCCTAAGTGCATGAGGGGGTTGCAAATTGATTGCGTCTCGGGAATCTTCTGATCCATTTAAATGGAAATGATATCTATGGTACTCCGTGCCTTACGGTAAAGGCCCAAGATATTTTCTTTCAGACGCGTAAGCCGCAAATGAAAGGGTCGAGCGCGAGTAATCTTTGCGAGAATCCAAAATGAAATACAACGTCTGACTTGGATTTTCTATCGGGATTTTAGCAGTGTACAGATCCCGCAGATGATTTTTTGCGCCTAAGGAAAGCCAGTCACTCAATTAGCTTGCATTTGAGGTTTTAATTTAGGAGACTGGGATGTGTGATACTCAGCTTTTACGAAACATGCAGAAAATGAGCAGTTGCCTACGAATCAACAATCGCTTCTTGACGCGCGCAACGGGTGGTGAGGAAGAGACCCGCTTAGGAAATTGTAGCTTAATATAATTAGAATACGATTAGATTGATTTACAAAAAAAGCTTTAGTATATTAATGTCAGTTCTAATTTTTACTTAAATAGAGCTCGAAAGCTCTGTCATAGGAAAAATCTTTTGATCGCAACAAGTGTGTGAGACGTCAGGAGTAGTATGCAATCTTGTAATCGGTCAACATAGGGTCTTACAATTGATCTAATAAGCGTGTTCTCCATTACACCCTGATCACTTTGTATTCCTTTTAGCGACAACAAATACCTCATCTGACATGATCATGTTGGATAAGGATGATAGCTTTCATGCCACAAGTGAAACCCTTACTCATTTTTCAGAAATCGAACAAGTGCGGTAGAATGTATAAGCTCTATCAAAACAAAAACCGCCATCAGCGCCATGTCAAATTCTCCAAACAGACGCCGACAACATGCCTCTACAGCCATTTAAAATAAATTTGTCACTGAAAGGTATTTAGTATCCTTGCTTCACCATCATGGCTGTAGACAGGCCGAACGAATTAATAGAAATCGGTCTTCGACAAATAAAGCTGTTGAGACAGAAGCGATTCAATGTTGTGTGGGCGGGACGTTTCACACAGGTCTTCATTGAATTTTGAAGGTTGATATCTATAAATACACGGGAGTTGAAAATACTCCCTGTTGTTATGGTTCGTCGAACTAGACAGAGTCGTAAAGGCACGTAGTATCGACAATGAGCGACTGAAACTCAAGTTTGCTCAAACTCAATTATCAGGACGTGCCAAGACTTGGCCCTTTAGGCTTCAGATAAGTGACCCATTTACTTTTAAGTCGCCGGAAGTCTCTAAAACTTGACTCAAACAGACGTTTGAGCCGCCACGGGATATGATCGAAGCTCTATAGAGGATCTAAAATTTGAGCAGGGTAAGTGTGATGTGCACGCTTACGCTTAAAATTTCGACTTCTCGAGAGTACTATAGTTGCTATCCCAAAAACATAAACACACATTAATTAATCTTTTACACAAGGGTTTGCAGATGGGCTCGTCAGGAACAAGCTTTTTTTCTTTGAACTGGATACGCTTCAACAAGCAATCGCAGCAGCAGATCAGGAGAACTTTACTATAAGACAGGCTCATGATAGCTCGAGTTGTAATATTCCACCAAGACGACAAGAAGCTGGAGGTTTAAAATCAATGGACCTATGTTCTGTTGAAAGGTATAGACCTCGCTGTTTGAGTGACAAAATTTTGCAGAAGTGCTATCGATGCCAGTAAGTGGGTCAAAATGCTTACGAGTGTAGTGACCACGCCCAGTACCAAACAAAACTGAGCGTATTAATCGGCCTTTTAATAAAAAGGACAATGGGCGTCGGTAGAACGGTTCAGTGGATCCGCAGCGTCAAAAGGACCATCCGAAAATGGTCGAATCCAGCAGAGGCGTAGCGTTATACTGATATAGCAAACTCATCATATTTTGCAAATCGTTTGGCGTACGTTTCTCCCGGATACACAACCATCGTGTGTCTCGGAGTACCTGATTAGGATGTATTAATTACCACCTTAGAATTGCATGTTACACATGATCTTCTACTTCGATCCCCATTGGACGTTGATGCATCGAACAATTTGTTTGTCGCCATTTGCTAGAGAGTCGTAGGCTTAACTTCGTTGAGCGCTGCATCCATCGAACGAGAACAGCGGTATGCCTTGTCACAGGCGCTTCAATAACCATTGATAAACGAGTAGTAGGAACCTACTACACGCTAGAGGGCGAGCAGTACAATGATGTTTCACTGTCTTGGATTGGATGACAAATTTGACGGCATTCTGGGAATAACTTAGCTCAGAAGGTATGGTAAAAGAGTGATATGGCATTATTGATCTGTGAAGATGCCTGCCGCTTGTTCATCATACGGAAATTTCCTGAACGCAATGGTGCTTTTACAAGCGCAAAAATGTACTGCGATTGAGTTCGATGGCCTCACTCACCGTACACTCGTTACCAAGACTGCACAGAACCACAGTATAGCTGATCCCTACACTGACGCGCAATTTCCCGTAATCTATACATAATCACAGGTAGAGACAAAGGTTCATCACTCAAAAAGGTCGTGTAGACCGGGACATGAATGCAATTCTAGCGGGAATTATATAAGGAAGGAGAAATCGGTTGCCCCAAATGGGCAACACGGTCATCCTAGGGTAGCTAGAGATTCGACCATTAAGGATAGTTGCATAATTGTGGTTACACAGCCAAAGTCAAAAGACGTCGATAAAATAAGTTTTTATGTCCTTGAGGTGGACATTTCTCGAGCACTACATGATGATAGAACTGGATTTCATCATCTTGTGGGTACAAGCTCCCAGGAAAAAACCGGTACTTTGAACGTCTTGGTCAATGATGGATAAGCGTGGGCGCTTTAATCTTGATCTTATCTTCTCTTTAGAATTATCTTTGGAGGTGAATCGATTGCCAATGATGGAAACTAAAAGATTCTTGCGAGATCTGCGTAGTGACAATATCAAAAAGATCTGCGTACTCGTCATGGAGGACGAGTATGCAGCCAAATTTCGGTTGGCACAAGTGTTTGCTGAGAACGAACGGGTTCTCAGTAGCTCATCGATGGACGAGAGTGTTCTCGATGAGAAGACTCGGATTGAGCAATACACGTCTCAGTCTTGGTAGTCTTTGAAGACAAATCTTTTGTATAAGGGTTTGGTTGAATTCAGGAATGTTTTCCCGGAATCCGTGCCATGCAAGCTGCCCAAGGACAAAGGCAATCAGCATGAGATCGAACTGAAACCTGATTCAAAGTACTGTATCATGAAGCAGTGGCCACTGCCTCGCGAACATGTCGCAGCGATCGACAAATCCTTTGCCGGTCGCTCAGCGGCTGGTCTTGTGAAGGAATCAACTTCCCCACACAGCTCTCCGAACTTCTGTGTGCGATAGGCCACAGGAGGGTGGCGGATAGTGCACGCATTTAACAAACTGGACGCTGAAACGGTACCGGCTCAATTGCCGATACCGAGGAAGGATGTCATACTAGATGGTATGGCAAAAAGAGCCACATTTTCGTTCATGGATCTGATGGATGGATTCTATCAGATCCTCATGCGTGATCGGGATATCTCTTACACAGCAGTGAGCACCCGCAGTGGTATGCTCTGGGAGTGGCTAGTGATGCCACAGGGTCTAAGTAACGCCCCTGCAACGTTCAACAGATGTGTTACGAATCTATTGTGATCGGTGCGCGATTTCGCACCGAGTTACTTCGACGATATCTTCGTCCATAGCCGGGCTATGGATGGAAAGACGGACGTGGAGGTTCATAGAATTCACGTCCGGAAGGTCCTTGCTATAATGCGAGAGCATAAGTTGTTTGCAAATCTCAAGAAGTGTATCTTCGCAGCGAACGAGATACCACTTCTCGGCTGCATCGTGGATAAAAACGGTGTACGCTCTGATCCGGAAAAGATCAAGGAGATTAGCGACTGGTCTGTGCCAGTCGACGTCAAGGGACTTCGAAAGTTTCTTGGCTTAGCGGCGTACTTGCACAAGTACTCGCGCAGCTACGCCGAGATGACCGTAAATCTCTATCGTCTGCTTAAGAAAAACGAGAGGTGGTCATGGAGAGCTGAGTGTCAGTACTCTTTTGAAGGTATCAAGAAAAGCTTGGTGCAATCTCCTGTGTTGGCGATTTCAGACCAGGACAGACCATTTCATGTGGTCTGTGACGCCAGCGATTTTGTAATCGGCTGCTCGTTAATGTAGTACGACTCAGACGGCGTTGAGCGCGTCGTCTAGTGCCAATGGCGTCAGCTGCAAGCAGCTGAGCGTAATTACCCGGTGCATGACAAGGAAATCCTTGCCATGAAATATGCACTGGCCAAGTTTATGGTATATCGCTTAGAGGAGATAGGCCCTTCATCGTTTATACCGACCATGCATCGTTACGCACGGCCATGAACAGTCCACACCTCTCGCAATGAATAGAGAGGTGGCTGTCTTTCTTCGCGAAGTACAACTTCTCCGTCGAGTAAAAACCAGGACGACTAAATGTCGTCGCTGATGCTCCTTCGCGTCGACCAGACTTCGAGCCGACTGCTTAACCCAACAGTAGGGGTGATCCCACTGTAGCGACACAAACAGTAAGTGCTCCGTCGTCGAATCTGCTCGAAGACGTGCGAAGAAAAGCATACGTAGAAGATAAGCCTTTTCTGCGATTGATGGATTACGTATACAAACCATCCAGTCAAGCTTTGAAAAGCTTGTCGTCTCAATAACGCTCTTCAAACGAACGGTATTCTGTCCGTGATGGACTGCTGTACTATACAGCAGTCAACGGCGACAAACATCGTGGCATCGATCCCGCTCATAATGATTTGCGATTGCGCATCGTGTTTGAGTGTCACGATGTCCCAACAAGTGGGCATCGCGGTAGGGAAAAGACTTACCTCAGGGTAAGTCGTGACTTCTACTATCCCCGCCAGTATGAGTTTTTGCGCATATAAATTAGTGCTTGCGAAGTTTGTCAACAGGTGAAGCCTAGTCCTTCATCCCGCGCACCCTTGCAGCCTCTACTGATTCCGGCAGAGTGTTGGCAGTCCGTATCGATAGACTTCGTCTTTGGGTTTCCTAAAGACGTTCACAAGAATGCTGGTATTCTTGTGTTTCGAGATCGGTTCACCAACGTGGTACATCTTGTTGCTGTACCGGAGTCAATCACAGCCCAGGGTTGCTCGTGTCTTCATCCATACTATCTTCCGACCTCCGTCACGTGTCAGGCACGAGATCACGGGCTACCCCTTGAACTCGTGTCTGATAGGGACCCCCGCTTTACAGCGGAGCTCTGGCAATCCGTGTATCGCCACTTGGAACACGTTTAACGATGTCGACTTCTGACCATCCAGAAACAGATGGTCAGACGGAACGCGTCAACCGCGTCCTCGATAAGAAAAGAATAGAGTGCGTCCACTCGTTTGCGAGCTGGGTGAGTTTTTGCCGATGTTGGAATTTGCCATCAACAACTCGGTTCATTCGTCGACAACGTATACACCGTCCTTCGTGAATGTCCTACGTCATCCACGTTTACCCGCCATCTTAGAGTGTGACTCTAATTAAGGGGCGGGTGGACTCTCTCGAACGATCTGGTTCTTGCTCATCACCCTTCGACAATGGTATCACGTAATAGATGTCGATGTCGATTCGATCGACACCGATGTTGATGATAAAGACGATGCTGGTACGTTCAGCATCGCCAATAACTTTAAAGTAAGGAAGATGACACCATCACTGGTGACGAAGCGCACTGCTGGTGACAAGGATGAATTAGCAGAGGAATTTCTGCTGACTCGCGGAGCGGTTGTCCGCTTCGTTCAAGGCTCTATTGCACATGCACTAGACAGGCAAAAGTGAAACGCAGACAGACATGGAAGAGCAAATTTTCTTTCATTTGATGAGGGAAATTACTTTTACTGTCTACAGTAAATCTACCGAAACACGCAGTGACATACGTGGTCAGCAGTAAATTACTGCCCGAATATATCGGTCCATTTCGTGTGTTGCGCCGAATGAGCAACGCATACACGATTGAACTGCCCGTAAGATGCGTACGCATCCTACGTTTTACGTTGGAAGTCTCCGCTCGTACTATCAGTACGAGCCCGTTTCGAGATGCGAAGAACACCTCAACGGTCGATAGCCGAGACCACCTTCGAGTGTTCCAGTTTCAAACGAGCCAGTCTAGTCGACTAGCGAAGCAACCTGCTCACGCAGTTGAGCGATGTCTCGATGAGCTGCATCCAGCTCGTCACGAAGAAAAACGATTCGAACAGTCGTTCTCAAGTTGTGTAAACGCAAATGCGGCTTGATCGTCCAAACAATCGTGAATTAAGGAATTGCAATTTTCCCTTATAAGATCGTGGAGCTCATAACGCCAAGTCTGTTCATGAGCCAGGTCATCTTGCAACTGTTCCGTCACACGATTAAGCTCCCGAACATCAAGCTGATCCGAGCCTCGAGCCGGATCAGGTTTTCTCGCCGCCAGCACATCCTTTTGGTGGACTCTGGCGGTGGTCAACGCTTTCTAGTGGAGCGTATTTTGAACCACCGCGATGTGAATGGCGTCCGGACGAGTTACATCGTCTACTGGCGTGGCTATCCATCGGCGTGGGACAGCTGGGAGCATCGTTCCCGGATGATTGTTGATGTCCTGGGTCTCGTCGAGCAGTATGACGAGACCCACCAGCTGCGTTTGAAGAAGTGCCGTCGGAAAACGACCTCCCCGAACGTGAGTACACGGATTGCAAAGTGTCAATCCTTTAGGCCATCTCAGAAGAGATGCGCGCCCTCCATTAGGGAACATTAGGGAGGTATGCCTCCCTAGGGGCACGGTTCGAGTTGTCCAGGCAACCTGGACACGAATCACCCCACGATAGCAAGGGTAATCCTGCCTCTCTTGACAGCCGGTGCAACTTGTATCGCACCCCGACTGAGCTGCGCTTCTCAAACCTGATGCGAGCTGCATCAAGTGTACCGAGCCAGGCCTAACGGCCAATGCACTCGATGTGATGGATGAGGGCATTCCATCCTTGCACCAAGGCCTTACCTTCTCGAACACGGCTATTATTGTACCACCGATATTTGAAAAATACGTCGGTAAAGAATTCTTCCTCGACACACATAGTTTCCGTTCTGGAATCAGGAGGGCAAATCTTCCTGCAATCGAACCACGGGATTCTATCCTGTTCGGTAGTCATGCCGGCCAACCGGTACAACTCTCTGGATAACGGCATCCAGAAGACTCCACTTAAGGAGCGTGGCGCAGGACATTTCGGTCCCTGGCCTCTTGATTGGTGCCAGTGTGAGCACTGACACCAGTGACGCCTCGATCTCTCGAGTTGCTACGCTCGCTGTGATGTATAGGTGCGTCACCACCATCGCCACGCGTCCTATCGCTGGATAGACTTGCGTGAGGCTGAAACTCATCGGAATAATCGCTCAATCCGAAGATCTCGAGCATGATGCCACCACGTTGACCAGAACCAGTCAACCTGGCTCTTGCAGTGTCCGCCCCGGGTGATCGGGAGGCGTGAGGTGTCGCCTTCGAGTCGGATGCATCATTCGACTCGCCAGAACATGTGAGCTCTATTTCATACTCATCTGGAATACGATTCGCAGTACCCGCTGCAGACGCAGCGGATGTACCTGTTGTACGTGGTGACTCACCACGTGGACTGTTCACATCAGCAGGCGACGAATCACCTGCTGCTGAGGTGTGAGAAGTACTCTCTCCGGCTGCACGCATGCGTGTAGCCGACTTTCTTGCTGCTACAGTAGCAACTCTCTTGAATTTCGAAACCATGCTTTTGATTGGCAAATCAGTTGGAATTTGACCAACAAGTGCTTTCTTTCCCAGAGTGATCCAACTGTGGTCACCCTGTCCCATTCAAATTTATCAATGAACGGATAATTGATGGTTAAGGTGAGTGTGATGTAACGGGGTAGCCCGTTAGTGGAAATTGTCACCAAACGGTGTCAATAGGAATATTGTCTAGCATGACAATATCATTCCAATATTATCCGAGATGGTTAATACTGAAGAAATATCATCCCCTTTTAGGATGATAATCGTGCGCTGGTCAAAGATTGGTTGATATGAGACAAATCAACCATCGATTACCACCAATCTCTGCTAGACGCGCGTAATGAGTGGTGAGCAGGTTGTTGCCATCCGAAAATGTAGATTAATGTAGTTAGATAAATACTGAAGTCACATTGATAGCTTAACGATATTAAATACAGTTCTCTTTTTACCTTTTACTCAGCTTAGGTGTTGAGTAGATTCGCTTCCTCTGCACGTACTAGTGTACGTGAAGTTTCGTGGCACCCAGACAAAGGGTGCCTCGCTACATGTAACAAGTAATTGGATTCTTTGCCTGATGGGAAACCCTCGTCGTCGTGCATTTACTAGATAAAGATGGCTGTTAACGGTAATTATTGTGACCAGCATCGGTTGTTGGTCCGACCTTCGCTTCCAAGGGATGACACCGAATTGTACAGGTACGATTCTGTCACTTACGATACTGTGTTAAAAGGGACTCCGTGAGAGGTAAGCCAGTGCTTATAAACCATAGCAAAGGATCGTTCGCGTTAAAATATTACCGCTTCTGACGCTTCTATTGTTGCAGGTTGACCGTTGCTGTCGTTGACACTTATCGTGATACTGGTTACGCTAGGTAAATGTTAACCACATATATTGCTGTAGTAGCCGGTGATGATGACAGGTCCATAGGAAGACGCAAGATCATGAGAGGAAACAATGGATGTCTGTGGTAGTGGTTAACACGTCACTATAATTTTAGTTCACAACAATCATCAAAGTACGCAAGTATTAGTACGACCAGTAGCGAAGAGTCGACTGATGAGTCGGAGAATTCCGGCGCACATAAAGCTAGAGAGCTGACGCGTCGTTAATCGGAGAAAAGCCATCCACGACCCTGTGCTGATCAGGCTATACCCATCGCATTTTATATCGCTTCAAGCATATAGAAAATAAATTCAATCCTACGCGACGTCGACAATGTGAATGACAAGGGCACAGTACAAGGACATATTATCAAGTAGCAAAAGTACAAGCGTTCTGTGCAGCAGCTCCAGCAGTGCAATGTATCGAAGATATTACGCCATTCGATCCTGCACTTGATGCTGTTAATACTGCTTTGTATATCGAGCTGTTGATGCAGATGTAGAGTATCGTTGACAGTACAGGTTAATTTTACTTACATGCTATCACTACGTAACAAACTACCATCAACCACACATTAAATCGTGTTCTAATAATTCTTATACAACCTATCAAAAAATTTCCACAACAGGTTATTCAAGAAGATGGTTGTGTTGTAGCGTTCTAGCGCAACTAGAGGTCGTGCAGCATAAAAAAGATACTTCCACTGGCCATTTATAGGCTTTTTAAGCCAATTGCTTGTTTAATATATGAAGTGAAGGCTCATAAGCCACTCCTTATTTTAATCTATAAAGCTCAAAAAAAATTACGCGCTTGAAGGAAGTATTGAAAGTTTCTACGTAATTGTAAAAACGTACGATCCATCTTATCAGACACTTACGAAGCTTTTGTTTAGCTGCACGGATGTGTAAGCTTCGCACAGGAGTAAGTGGGTAACAATCACCGAGCCAAACGAATTGTTGCTGTTCGTGTCGTAGGGCGCTGCGACTTCTTCGATCGCGTGCCTTCCCCGTATCAGCACAGACCAGGTTGGGAAGTATCTGTGATTAGAAATTGGGCTGAGATGCTCACCATACGCTCGCTACCTACGCTGACTACGCTGAAGAGCACAAGTCAATATGATCTCCAACGATATGTCGCCGGTGTACAACATGATTGCACAAGCTTACGCAACGAATTCGGTAAGTACTGTGTCAACTCAACCATACAAAGAATGCACCCTCGTACTGTGCTATACTGCACGCATCGAGGCAGGAGACTAGGAAAAACTCAGAGTCAGCAGTATCTACCATTTAGGCCAACTTGGTAGTTCCGCATGAGCCTAATAAATCTTGTGGGAAGGACGAACTGCAGATACATATCGCCACCCTCTCCGAGCTCCTTGCAATGTACGCCCGCTGTAATGAACGTACGATGGTTTCGAAAGCAATGTAACGTCTACGATAAACATGATGCTTAGGGGAGTGATGCACGATCGTGTTTCGCCATTCCGTCTTCAGCCCCGAAGTTCCTTTCTTTGAGGAAGCTGACGCCTACAGCCGGCATCGCAAACTTCAAAACTGGTCTCCGTCCTGGACTTCAGCAGTTAATCCACTGGATTCTCGGGGTGGGGACAGGCTCTTTATTATCCAAAACGTGAGGGGCTTCAAGGCTAGCGCTCGGGAAGGGTGGTTGTCGGCGTGGCGGGGTGCGCCTCAGATCCGTCGCCCGCAGGCTTGGTGTATTCAGGAGACGCATGTACATACTGACGAAGAGGCAGGTAGGCTGAGTTCCAGGTGGGCTCAGTTATGGGGTCAACACCTTGATCCTGACGCTCCTCCTCTATCGTTCTGGAGTATTGGCTCTTCCAGCCGAGCTGGTGTTGCCATTCTTCTTACCCCTCATTCTGCTCGTACAGCTTCGGCCTGGGAACCGGAACGCTGGTCACCCCGGGCGATCGCAATTTCCATTGGGGAGGATGTTCTGATCAATGTGTACGCACCTACACTGCGAGGTGAACGGGAGGACTTCTTTACTTCCCTTCTCAGCTGGAATTTGATGGTCTCCAACACTATTATGGCGGGCGACTTTAACTGCGTCCAGTGCCCTCTCCTCGATCGGTACGGCAGTTACCGATCGCACCGATCGGAAAGCCCTGCCCTGGACGCGGCAGTTGCGACACTGGGCTAGGCGGATGCGAGAGATCTTCGGGATCATGCGGATAACGAGGGCACTGGCGATCCTACTGACCATTTCACTTACTGGAATGGGAACCGTGCCAGTCGCATCAATCGTTTCTATGTTCCTGAGGGGTGGGTAGGTCGCGTGCTGTGGATTGAAGCGCGGGTGCCATCAAATCAGTCGGACCATCAGGAGGTTGTGCTACACCTACGTGACCTGAACAAACCTCGTCCGTCAAGCCGGCATGGGCGTGTAACATATCCGATTCATTCATCGAACCCTGGCAGGATCGTTGACGAACTCGTCGCGGAAATGGACGGAAGGGCTATAGGTCAGAGCTTTTCTACCCTCACTTGGGACGCGGATGTCACAGAGTGTCAACTGTGCGTTCGACGCATCCGGAAGCGGGTCAAACAGCGCAGAGCGCGATTTCGTCGGAAGATTCAGGGCAGAGCTCGGCGACCTCTCCTCACCCGGCCGCAATTTATCTCCTGAAATATGGAGGAATTACGGCAGGAACATCTGGTGCGACTGGGCCAGAAGCTCGCCAGGACGGCTGACCAGTTGCGTTATTTTTACAAGCGGGTTGCCGACTGGGAACGCAATCAAACAGTCACAACAATTTCGCGCATCCACGGCCCGCATTTTACCCGGGATATGACTAACGCGGATAAATTTGCCTCCGAATGGTCTACAGTCCTTGGCAAAGTTCATTGCCAGGAGGAGAGAGTGGACTTGCCATCAGCCATTCGCCGTCTTGTCAATCTACCCACAGACCGGGTCTTGTCTTCTGCCGACAACCGGGCTCTCTTGGCTGATTTTTTGGAAGCGGAAGTCCTTGCAGCCGTTTCTGGGCTCAGTCGACATAAGTCTGCGGGACTGGACGGGCTCAACAACGATTTTTTACAAGGATACGTCTGCACTTCTTGTCCCCGACCTGGTCCAGCTCAGCAATCAAATTTTGGCTGGAGCTGATCCCCCGCCTTCGTTTCTCGAAGCTTTGATCATACCCTTGCGTAAAAAGGGAGACTCGGCGGATGCGATGGATTACAGACCGATTTCTCTACTCCAAACCAGTTACAAGATCTTTGCGAAAGTGCTGGCCACACGACTGCAACGCGTATTACCAAAAGTCATTGGTGACTCGCAGCAAGGCTTCGTACACGGACGTCAGATGTCTAAACTAGTGTTGATGATGCTCGCTCAACTGGCGACAGCAACATCGGATACAACTACATCCGCCGACGACAGCCGAGTGATCCTCCTACTGGATTTCCGCAAGGATTATGACACGGTCGATCGCGAATTCCTGTATGAGGCTCTTCGCCAATTTGGTTTCGCGGAAAGGTATGTTCAGCTTATTACTCGACTACATACTGGTACTACGGCCGCGTTCCTTGTAAATGGGGAACAGTCTCGTCCCATCTCCGTCGTTTCCGGTATCCGGCAAGGCTATCCACTCGCCCCTTTGCTTTTTCTCGTCGTGGTGGAGATATTGGGCGTTGCGGTACAGCAATCACCAGATTTGTCTGGGCTTCCTGTCCCTGGACGACATCCGGCAACGCACGTTTTCTCGGCGTTTGTGGATGACTCGACGATCTTTCTCGAGAAGGCCAGTCAGCTGGAGCCAGCGATAGCTCTTCTCTCTCAATTTGGGACCCTATCAGGGCTAGTTGCCCAACCCTCCAAGAGTCAGATCATTTGTCTTAATCGGGCTGTGCACGTAGCCGACATGCGGGGCATTCCGGTCCTTCAACAGGCGGACACGGTGCGATACCTGGGCTATCAAGTCGGACTAAGACCCTTACACAATTGCAACTGGGCGCTTCGCATCCGGAAGCTTCAACGGAGGCTAATGACAGCTTCTAGGGTGGCGACTAGTGTGGCGAATCGGGTGTTGATCCTCAACTCCATCATTCTTTCGTCTGTTCTGTTCACGGCGGCGGTGTTCGATATGCCTGAGTGGGCACGACTTGCTGTCCACAACCTGTACAAACAATTTTTATGGGCTCATGCGACTTCAACGGAAGCCAGCCGACACAAGATTAACCCGGGACTACTTTTCACCCCCAAAAAGGCAGGGGGGGTTGGGTTGGCCTCTTTGGAAGTGGCTATTAAAACGCAGCGTACCAAGCACGCTTTACAGTGGCTCACACAAGCTCAGGACAAGTATTTTGGAGCCTGGAGTGCGTGGGCTCATTAAGGCCGGCCGACAAATTCGAGCCTGGTTCTCCATTGCAGGACGCAGGCAGCTGAGGCTGCATCGTGTGTCGGGGCACCGTCCCCAAATTCATGGGTACCGGACGTTGACAAGCTTCTACACCCTACGGTAGAGCAAGCCACCATACTCAGCGAGCGGGTACGAACGTACTACCACCCCGTCCTCCACGGCGCCAGTAGCTGGTGGGAGGAGGAGGAATGGGTTCTGTCGTATCATCACCCTTTCCCGGCTGGGTTACCTGCGCTCGATCCTCAACAGTGTGCGCTACATCGCTTTTGGGGGACACTAGGCTGGAGTAATAACCCGTGGATCCAGGACGGCAATGGCCTTCCGCTAAAATCCGCTACCTACGACCGGATCGCGATCTGCCCCATCTCGGACCTGCACATTCGGCGAGCAGGGCCAACTGAATTTATTTTTCGCATTAAGCCGGTTGGACCCCGATCTATGCACCACTCGCAGCCTAAACTCCGTCGGTGGGCGACGGCAATCTTGCTGGCATCCCCTACGTTTCCCATTGGGGGCGAATTAGCGCTCGAACCTGAGCTGGTTCTTCGCCATGCACCACCTTTTCGACATGAATGGACCTGGGTCTCGGTGCAACAAGGTCGAGTGGTCGGGAGGCGAGAGGGGTACTTGGAAGTCGCTGACCAGCCTGTTGAACTGCAGCAGAGTGCGGATGGAATTCGCTGGTTTTTCACCTCTTACCTACCAGATTTAGCTACTAATTCGGACGAGGACAGATCCATTTGGGACCTACGCCTGCGTCGTCACGGCGTCGTGTTTTACTCCCATCCCGGGCATCATGGCTTTCCTTGGGCCGTTGCCGAGTCGGTCGCGAATTTAGCTATACGAAAAGCTATTTCACGCCTGGCGTTCACGTTTCACAAAAGACTTCTTGCAGTCGCATTGCGACCGCTGGTGCGGCGTCTGGACGCCGTCTGTGACTTCGATCAGTGGCAGAGGGCTGCCGCAAACCAAGACCCGGCACACGTTTGGAAGCATGCCAATGGCCTTTCCGACCATCAGGTCTGGACTTGTTACCGTATAGCCACCAAGCAACTCAACTTGTACCATGCCGGCCGTCCGGCGGACAATAGTTGCCGGGCGTTATCGGCGTGTCACGGTTGCAAAGAAACGCCGGCTCACATCTTTTGGGACTGCCCCAAGGCGCGCGCGTGCTGGGGTCAACTCATTACCCATTGGACAGGTGAACGGGCTGGGAGGCCGTGGGGAGAGCGTAGGTTCGTCGGGAGTGTGAATCGTCACGCGCCGGAGATACCGTCCAAGCAGCGTCTTCGGATTTACCATATGCTCCCGGAGGACTTAGAGGCTGGTGTCGCGGTTTGGAAGCGTCTCTGGTTTATTATGAGCAGCATTTGTCGGACCCACTTATGGAATGAGCGGAACGACGCGGTTTTTCGAGGAGTGCAGTCGACGCCTCTCCACAGCGCCGCGCGTTTTTGGGCGCTGGGAATTCGACATCTTACCGCATTAGCGAAACGCGAACATCGCGGTCCCGCCACAGCTGTCGCCGGGGCTATCATGCATACCTGTATCGACCTCTTTATTCTCGAACCTCGGGATGGGCCGATACCTTTAGGTGACAGCCACGACAAGCTACCAGTTCCGGAGCTATTGTCCTGGCTTAGAAGTTTTCAGACATCTTTAGCATAATCATATGTTAATAGACGGTCATGAAATCATCACGATCGTGTTTCGCCGAGAGAAAGAGCGCCCGTTTCAGTGGTTTGTCAGAAACATCGTGGTTCGATCGCTCATTTCCGTCTCCTCTATCAACCGACCGGCCTCCTACATACGATTACGGCGATTACTTAAACACCGAAACCTGCGGTTTGGAAAGCCTGCAATATCGCGCGTCGAAGGTGCACCCAGTGCAGGGCATTGCCTACACTTGCACTCACGTACGTGAATCAGGGCAGCGAGCATTGCCAATCTCAGTTGCTTGAAGCACTGGTCATACCCCTGTGACGTGCGAATGTGAAACGGACCATCTGAACGTATCTTACCAGTCGACTTAGAATCGCACTGCACCACGTTTATCTTTTACTGTCGAGATAGCACGCTAAAGGCCGAGGTGTTGAAAGGCAAGCTTCAAGTTGATGTACCAAGAAAGTGGTACCAGTATCACTTTTGATATCATCTTTGCGCCGAGCAACTGTGGGAGTTTCATTTTATGATTTCTTCTGCAGAAAGGATTTGATAGCTAGCCAGGAGATAACGAAACTAATAACACCCTCTCTTTTGCATTTAATTGTGTGTCCTCTGTCTCTACCTTTGTGTATTGACTTCTAACAGGTTATGAGCCCAAAGCACGGGGCACTCAGGGGTGACACGCGCGACGGCGCGTATGCGGAAGCAGCCCCTGCCACTGGTCACGAAAGGGTCAGTGAGCATGAAGATTATGAAGAGAAGAGCAAGCAAGGTGTTGTCCATGCGGTGGACAATGCTGTCACCAGGAGTGACGACGCGTCAGAACTCCTGGTGTTGATGAGAGGAATAACCGGACGTCTGGATAGGCTTGAAGAGTCACAGACAAGGTTGATAAAAGCTGAGGAAGGGCGTGGAAGACATAGGGACGCGCCTATGACTCCGCCTAGACATTCAAGTTTGTTTGTTTCGGCTTTGGGAAGTGGAACAAGAGCAGATGCACATGGACAACTTGGAAGGGTCCAATGATGCGCCGGTATTTACTCCGAGGAGACCGGTTGAAGGGCAGATGTCGTTTGGCGCTGGACAGTCCGAATATAATGAACCCAGCCAGGACGTTCGCGGTCAAGTTGCACCAGGACTTGGAATTCCTGATATGTTGCCCCAAGCTGGAGGACATGGGTACATGCAACATCCCGACTTAAATGGATACGGTCATGCACAAGGAAATATACTACAAGTGCGATATCCTGATGCAAGGCAAAAGAAGCTCGGCATTCGGCCGTTTGATGGAAGCGAACTGTATGAAGGACTTGGTTCTGGATTCTTGGAGTGGGGTTGGAGATTCGAGCGACAAATTTCTTTGGCGCAGTCATCTTGTGGATTTGAATGGCCTGAAGATGTGAAAGTGGATTTGCTTGGTTTGTATCTCTCTGGGACTGCAGAGAGATACTATAACAGACAAGTTGCGATGTGGTGGAGTCAATTACCCACTTTGCAGTACGTAATGGAGAAAATGCTTGAAGCATTCAAGACAAGTATAACACCGGCCCAAGCGATGAAACTTTTTACGCAACGTCAGAACCCGAACCGAAGTTGGCCAGAACATTACATGTATTTGGCGGCAATTTCCGAAGTTTGTGGAAACGGTGGTGATTATTTGGTTCTGGACAATATTGTGCAATACGCCTCTGAGGCTATGCAAACAATTTTACTGGCAAAAGTTGATCACACGAGAACGGACTACCTGGTACAAGCAGAACAGCTCGCTCACTTTGCGCAAGCGTATGAGTTACACACTGGGAGAGAAAGAACTCTCGGGCGAGAAAAAGTGAGCACAAGAGAAGTCGTTAATTCTGTTTCCGATCGACAACGCAAGGAAACGCGTAGATGTCACTTTTGTCACAAAGTTGGACATTTGCAGGGAGCGTGTCCGAAACGCAAGCGACCACAAGGACCTCGAACAAAGTTGTCGCTTGCTGTGAATGAAGTCTCAAGTCAACAAGACGATGTCTGGATCTTGGATAGCGGATCCAGTAGACACTTGGTCAGTGATGAGTCGTGGCTTCACAACGTTGAGTCGTGTGAAGGGGTTTGTCATCAACCCGATGGACAGCCGCTTCTTATAAGCAAAAGAGGCACTGTGACAATTAACGTCTTGGCTTGTGGAGTTGAGCGTGTGCTGACTCTTACAGATGTATACTTTGCTGAGGGTGTGAAGCATAATTCAATTTCGTATGGAATCTTGGACCGAAAGGGTTACACACTTGGATACAATGGAACTCAACGTGTTATATCCAATACAGTTACTGGAGCTGTGGCTTTTGATGTTCATTTGGTTGGTAACGTTCTTGTGGTGCCGTGTCGAGTGATGGATAACGATGTTGAACCGGTTGGAGTAATTATGGCGGTCTTGGGTGAAGAAGCAAGTGTCCAAGTGTCTTCCGCTGTCCAAAAAGGCAGTTTGATGGACTTTCACAAGCGTTTTGGCCATTTAAACTACGACACGATAATAAAATTGGCTAAAGATCCTTATTGTGATTTTTTGCTTACGGACAAGCGTCGCGACTTTTGTTACACTTGCTCACAAGGCAAACAGACCAAGAACAAACAGCAAAGGCACGACTCTGGGCAACACTCACCTATTGACAGGGTTGGAGGTGTTATTTGTTCGGACATCAAGGGCCCGATGACTCCAAAGGATCGGCTAAATAATCGCTATATGATCAACTTCGTTGATCATAACAGCAATTATTGTCGTGTATTTCTTGCTCGCACTAAAGACGCTGCAGCAAAGAAATTTAAAGATTTTCTGATTTTTTTCGAGAAAAAAATTAATTGTCGTGTGCACGTTCTTCGCACGGACTCAGGAGGAGAGTACCAGAATGTAGATTTATTCTGCAAGAAGTCGGGCGTTGCAAGACAGCGAAGTGAAGCAAGAAACCAAGCCAGCAATGGAAAGGCTGAGCGCATGCATCGGACCATCATGAATATGGCCCGTTGCATGATATTTGCGTCAGGATTGCCACTCAATTTCTGGGGTGACGCGGTTGAATATGCTGCTTATATTTTGAACCGGGCCCCTACAAATTCGAATGCTGAGCGAATGTCACCGATGAAGGTGCTGACGGACCAGACCCCGTCGCTAGGTGAAATTGTCGTTTTTGGATCACCATGTACAGTGTACAGAGATCCTAAGAAGAAGAATTTTGCTCCTAGAGGACAAAAAGGGATTATCATTGGCATTGGTGAAGAAACCAAAGGGTATCGTGTATACCTGCCGAAGGATAAAGTGGTTGTTGTCTCGCAGCATGTTCAAAATATTGAGACACTGAACAAGACCCAGAACAAGCAAGTTCAAGAATTTTATCTGCAGAATCCTACTAGTCTGGAAGATAATGACTCCGCGCGAGATCAAGTTCAGGAGGGAGGTAATACCAGATATCAAGATCTGGAGGAGGCGACGAGTCGTAAGGACAGGACACAGAATATGGAGAAAAGGACTCCGTGGACAAGAAAGAAGAAGGTTGTGACAAGATCGGCGAGCAAGAATAAACGCTCAAGCCAGGGACAAAGAACTGAGAGTTCAGCCATGGATACTGACGTTGTCAATGTTGTCACAACATCTGACCCGAGAAACTTTGGTGAAGCTATGCGTAGCAGTCACAAGGAAGGATGGATGAAGGCAATTTCTGAAGAATTGCAAGCCTTGGAGAACAATGGAGTTTGGAGTATTGTGAAGGCTCCAAAAGATATTCGAGCACTTCAATCGAAGTGGGTTTTTAAGACGAAGCGTGACGCAGAAGGTGGCATCGAGAGATTGAAGGCGAGATTGGTCGCGTGTGGAAATGAACAAGTCTTTGGAGTGAACTATGGAGTTACGTTTGCTGCTGTGATTGATATCTCCAGCGTGAAGATGATTTTCGCACTGGCAAGAAAGTGGAAGGTGCCTGCGAAGCATGGAGATGTTCTAAATGCTTACGTTAAAGCAGACAAGGAAGATAATCTCGATATCTACATCCACGTACCACAGGGAATGCAGATTGCAGAGGACTTAAAGAAGAAGATCGGTGTTTCACAGAACAACGAGAGTGTTTTGGAGCTGAAGAAGGCACTATATGGATTAAAACAAGCAGGAAGACTATGGAGTAAATTGCTACACCAGAAATTGGTTGATATTGGTTTTAAACAAAGTCTCACGGACATGTGTGTCTACTTTAGATGGACACATGGTCATCTATTGATTGTTGGAGTTTACGTGGATGACCTTCTGGTAACAGGAAGTGATCAGGGTTCTGTGAATTCTTTTTTGATGGGCTCAATTCACTATCGGTCAAGGATCTTGGATGTGCTCGCAAGTTTTTGGGTATGCGTATTCAATACAATGACGAAAATGGGTACACTTTTGATCAAGAAGTTGGAATTATGGACATGCTGAAGGAGCATGGTCTCGAAATGGGACATAGCGTGCGTGTTCCAATTACTCAAGACTGGAACGATAATGAAGAATCGGTAGCTGTGCCGTTACCGGTATTTGGAGGAGATGGTGTGGTTACGGTGAAAGTTTTCCAGTCACTTGTGGGAAGTTTACTATGGATTTCGCGTTGCACCAGACCAGATATCGCTTTCGCGGTGCATAAAGCGTCAAGAAGGACTCATAAGCCCACGATGGGAGATTATAAGTTGGCCAAGAAAATTGCAAGGTACCTATCTGGCACGAAGACATTGCGACTTTCTATGATTGGAAGAGAAGATGAACCAGAGCTGTTACAAGTGGTTGGGTACAGTGATGCGGATTTCGCTGCCGACAAAGGTGACAGAAAATCTGTCACGGGTGGTTTAATTACGATTGATGGCATGCCAGTGAGCTGGATGTGCAAGAAGCAAGGCGGTGTATCACTTTCGACCATGGAGGCTGAGTTTACAGCTGCATCCATTATGGCTTGAGAACTTTTGGGCATTCGCGAACTGTTGCAAGAGTAAGATTTGAGATTTGAAGAGCCTATACCACTGCGAGTGGATAACCAAGCGGCTTTGAAACAACTTGACGGTGAGAGAGCTTCGGCTAAGGCCAAACACATTGATGTGCGCATCAAGTTTGTCGGTGATTTCGCGAAGCGAGGAATCATAAAGCCTGAATATCGAGAAACTTCGAGTATGCCTGCGGACATACTAACGAAGGCATTGGCTGCACCGAGATTGGTCGAGATGCGTCAAGTGATCGGTTTAAAATAATCGATCGGAGTCGACGATGACAGAGCAAGGATCAAGTGTTTTGTCAGGACAGTGTCGACGAGGAGGAGTGTTGAAAGGCAAGCTTCAAGTTGATGTACCAAGAAAGTGGTACCAGTATCACTTTTGATATCATCTTTGCGCCGAGCAACTGTGGGAGTTTCATTTTATGATTTCTTCTGCAGAAAGGATTTGATAGCTAGCCAGGAGATAACGAAACTAATAACACTCTCTCTTTTGCATTTAATTGTGTGTCCTCTGTCTCTACCTTTGTGTATTGACTTCTAACACGAGGTCGCACTAAGCGTCGAAAAATGGCATTCGCCACCATTCCTTGACCAAGGCGTGATCTGAGGAGCTTCGTGTCGCTAATGCTTTTTCTAGCAGACCCGATCGCGAGCAAAATCGGCGTGGCCATGAAAGGTCACGCTGATATCCTTGAAGGGATCCTATTTTTTCCAAGCACTAGTGTTGGGTCGCCCACGCCAACCGTGACGAACCTGCATTGACAACACAAACACACGGATATGAGGCAACACCGAGCATCACTCCTCGTTAAACTAAGATCGACATCGGATATACTTCAGTATCACGCACAGGGTCCGATGCCAAAGTCCCCGCTTGACTGAAACTCCCGCCGTCCATCTCCTTTTCTCCTCCGTTCTCAGCTTGAGTGGTCGTATGATGTCTCTTTTTTCAATGGAGACGACCGTTACGCGCGACTGGCTGTCCGGTTCAACCGCAAACACTCGGATACTCAGGTCACACTCTTCTAGTTCAAAACCCAACTATCTGTCAAGTGCACTGTCAGCAGCACCCACGACTTGTAAGTCACTCATATATTCACTTACCAACTTAGAATAATGGTTCACCTTGCCACAACAACTTTGGTCCCATTGGCAATGCATGTTTCCACTGCATGCACGGGCTTTCCACATCTACCCTCAAGCTCACCAAGCCCCTATAGCGGAGACAAGCGTCGTGCATGGACAAGGGAGGATGATGCCGTTGTTCTTGGTTTTGTACGGGACTATGGCACAAAACACTGGGCCAAGATTGGGCTCCTCTTACCCGGACGTACGCCGAAACAATGCCGCACGCGGTGGCTCAACTTCCTAGATCCGAACATTGACAAAGCACCGTGGCGGGCGGATGAGACCAAACTCATTCTGGCTGCTCAAGACCGGCTGGGCAATCGCTGGGCAGAAATTGCCAAGATGCTGCCCGGCCGGACCGATAACGCTATCAAGAATCACTGGTACTCGACACATCGACGTCGTTGCCGTCACGCAGCGAAAGCATCGGATCAAAGTGAAGAGGTCCGACCACAACAGCAGTCACCGGTGACGACCCCGGAGCGGGAACGCGTTCTGGGTCCACTGACTACTTCAGCTTTAGCTGCAACTTCAATGTGGGTTGATACACCTTCGACTGGACTGTCAATCGACTCCTCAACCAGGTTTGACTCAAGACGACCGATTGTATTGTCGCCATTGAGGCTGTCACAGAGAGAGATGCTGACGCCGATGGCGAAGACGCTTCCAAGGACCCAGCTGCGAGCGGACAATGGATCGCTACCGCTGCTCTATGTTGCACCTAAGATATCAAGTTTGCTGACGATGGACTCGAGTTGGCCCCAGCAGGGACCGGGCTTGCCAAATCATCAGTCAGCGTGGTGGGGACTGCCGAGACCATTACAGAAGACGCATAGTGAGATGTTTACTCGCAGCGGAAGCATGAAGGTCAGAACGGAGACTCTATTATCGCCGCAACATCCGTGTGAGGAGAAAAATTGGTGGACCGGAAAGTCGCGAGTGGATGTCTTGATACGACAGGGATCTCCTGAACATCAGCGGAGCAATTCGGCAGACCTGTTTCTCGACTGTGTGGAGATGCTGAACCTTGACCAAGATGTATGCAGTACTAGCTGCAAAAATTCGTCAGGGAGTATCGGAATGAACGAGACTGACGATGAATGGAGCGACCAGCAGTCACTGGCATCCCCGATGGACATTACAAGTCACAACCTCTTCAAAAAGGGAGCTTGGCAGAAGGTATCGTGGGACCACATCGACACGGAGGTGGGAGCGAGATCGAGTGAGGACTTCTGCACTGATAATGATGCTTCTCCAGTATAAAGATGACGTAGTTAGCCGAAGACGTTATCGCAAAGGCAAGTAGCGTAGCCCTATCTTTGGGCTGGTGGATGCTTGGGATAGTTGGTAGTTTATAAGCTATCAACTACTTGAACGAGATCAATACAAGGTGCTACTAGGTAGCTGTCAATCCCGCTATTGAAACTATCCTCTGCATCATGAGTAAGCGTATGCTTCGTTCTTGCACGATACTAACAGCACGGACTTGTCCAGTCCTTCAGGTTCGTTTGCACCCTACAAAGGGAACATGATTGAGTGATGAGATCTTGCACTGCATCAGCAGCACCAAATCTGTCTTCTTTCGCAGTCAACTATGGATCACTACCGCCTGCCCTGTCAATACTGAGTCACGACTAGCAGATAAGCTGGATCCATCCTATCCGCATCGAATCAAATTTAGTCGAGCCATCTCACAAAACAGCCAGTCTCTTGTCAGCAAGCTGACTACGCCACGCCGAATAAGCGACGACGAAGTAACGATTGACTGACCATGAACCTTCCAAGTACTCGTGTTCGTGATCATCCTTAGAAAGACGTTGCATCGGCCGAGAGTCGATGACAACCCGTTGAATAATTTGCTGTTATTCGCTTTCTGGATAGAACTTGCGCCTTTGAACGATGTACAGACGTGTAAATTACGCAGATCAGCCTCTGCTCTAGGTCCTGACAGGATCGGAACTTACAGTAGATCCCATCCTACCACCGGAATGCATAGCTCATCGTGTTCATTGTCGCAGATGGCACGTGGAATGAAACCATCTCGTTTTATGATTACGATTGCAGAATCAATACTCGTCGTTGTTGCGTCTATTGCCAAGCTTCGTCGATGTTCAGTCACGGAAGAAGCTCATCGCAGGTTGCAAAGCTGTCCACTTTAGTGGATAGTTGGAAGTGTTTCTAGAATCCAAGATCCTAAGCGCAAACATCTTGAGGTTTACGAGTCAAAGTCGCGGCTGTCAGCTGAAGAATACTCTTTATTTTCTTCGGACAGGCGATACGCCAACCGTCCGTAGGCGTCGAGATACAAAGTAGCGTTTATATCGGTAGCGTTTTGAAGCCGAGCTCTGTATGCAGCGCATTGACGCCCGAGGTCTCATCTGCGTGTTGAGGTAGGTAACCTATGGATTGTACGATAGCGGACGTGTCAATATTATCTGTTTTCAAATGAGTCATAGACGATTCAATCGCACTGCTCACGTCAACAAGTGAGATGTGCGTGTAGCGTGAGAAATTATGTGTGTGTGTTTTGTGGTCCTACCAGCGCATATGCTCATAGTTGATAATAGAAGAAACGACTGACGGTTTGAAGTGATGAGGTATTCTTTTGGCAATAATTAGGCTTTGCAAAGGCTATCGCATACCCTCACCGTCCGTACAAATGGAAGGGAGTAGTTTACTTGCACGGTCTTGGCTGAAACCTTGTAATGTGCATTTAGGATGGACTGCTTATGTCGCGTGTATGAAGGAACTCAATGCGTCAGGACTGCGCTACTACGATCCAGTGGATAGTGGAATGCACTCGCTTCACTTTCATTGCTTTACGAATATAGAATGTAAGGAGACGAGATAGTTACTCAATCAAAGAGCCTGTGATTAACGCAGCTTTATCGTACAAAACTGCGTCTTAGCAACTTCATGCATGTATCTTACATTGGACCAATGTTTGCACTTCGGGTCTGCATGAAAAATGCCTGACGTTGGCCTGGTCCACCGGCTGATGAGATATTAAGATCAACAAGTGCTAGCACCCAAATCATCTTTGTAAAACACTCGGTAAATTTGAAACGTGGAACTGCACATGATACATTTCTGTTTCGATTCAGCGACATGAAATACTTTAATCTAGATCAAATAGATTCTCACAATCTGACAAAATTTTCATGATATCAGCTCTAGTTGCTGTCTCGCCGTCTCGTCATATTGTACACTGTACAACGGACGTCGCTCTTCGAATACTATTACTTATTTTTTGACCACACACAACTTTGATCGACCACTGCACGTCGCGGCCTGCTATCTCTCAGCAGCCTGATATCCCACATTTACTTTTATGAGTCACCCGTTGACAAAAAGGACACGAAACTGTTACGGGAAAGTAAAACCAAAAATCTAGATGTGTCAGATCTATGCAGGAAAATACAAAGCGTGATGGCAGGTACGGTGAGCCAGAAATAGAATGACATTGCAGGTATCCTACCGCGATGAACTTGGTTCAAATGAATCAGTGGAGTTCGAAGTGGGAACGAGCCAGCCAGAGGCTCTACCGTACCAACGTAAAAAAAACGAAAAACATACTGAAGTGTCATCGCAATCGCTTGTCCCATGGCGGGCGGGTCCGACGCTTGCTGCAAAGTCATTTGTAATCGCCAATAAATTGGGACCTTATGCTGTCATTTGTGGCAAAATCTCAAAATCATAGTAGTTCTCGTTGAGTATCGTATCGGTACAACTGACACTTGCAGTTAGAGCACCTTCGGCCTCCGTCGTACAGACAAATTAGGATCTTGTATGAACTGCTAATGGTTTCGCTGCCAGTTTCACATATGCATTAAGCTCCACGAGCTTTTGACTAGAAGGAAGCATTCGTGCCAATTTTCGCGCGTGACAGAGGGACCAACAGTCCTTCAGCTCGATGAACTGGGTGCAAGACCTGGCAGAAAAGAGAGGAAAGGAGGCAGGTTTATTCTCAACTTTATTGCAGGGAAGAACAGCAGTAGAAGCGTTTACCTCCTAGTCAGAAATGCTATGGTACTTATTCCAGTGTTCTGAACGGTTTTAATCTGGTCGAATAACACCAATGCTATCGAACATCTGTCATGTTTTACTTGGTCCGAGATCGTATAAACTCTCGTTGACAGTAGTTCTACCGAAGTAGTAGATCACATCATCAGTACACAGCGAGCACACGGGGAGGACTCCAATCACTCATGTCTTCTCCATTCGTTGCCGAAGCTTATTCTTGCACAGAGCACAGTGTGTTATTACCATGGACCACGGCCTTTGCGTCGCTCTCGTAATTGGTGATTCGACATGCGGCCGAAGCGAACAACCACTGGGCGCGGAGCCTCGCGTAGTCGATACAGCACGCGGGATAGTCCAAGGCCACCCACCTCTTGTCCATTGACTGCCAGGATGACCACGCCATTCTGGATTTCAGGGTACCGCTTCGCCTCGGACCCGTCAAAGCACTCCTTCACAACCGCATATTGCTTGCTCTCATCCGCACCAAGTTTCATTCCAATAGCTTGCTGTTTGAATACAATGTCAAACACATTCTCGATTCCTTCCATTGCACTCTGAGCGCTGGATAGTGCCGGGGACAAAGTCGCTGTAGCCGGAGAAGGACTCGAAGGAGCACGAAGTCGATGAGGTCCACCATATCCGTTCGTAAGCGAAGACCGCGTCGGGTATGCCGACAAGTCTTCCACACTACTGTCCGAACCAGAGTCGGAAAAGCCACTTGGGTCGTGCTCCGGAGGATACACAGGCGACGACGGGACCGTCATTCGTCGTCCGCCCGTGTCACGGCTCTCTCTGGACACTGCAGCATATGCAGCTGAAGCGCTCGTCGAGCGACCTCCGGTGCCATGAGCTGGTGCAGGATATCGTCCGTGTCCAGCTGAGTTCATTGTCTGCGGCCGTCGTGACCCGTTCTCCTGGTTATAGTTGCCCGTGACATAAGTGTGCACGAGCGACAGGAATGCATCTTGAGCTTGTTTCTGCTTGGATTGAGCAGCCGACACAGGCGCGCGCTTGCCAATGAGTGCAAAAGCATAGAGCTGCTGGAAAAAGAGTCCATTGGTCGAGTCGATCTTGTCCGACCCCGAGAGCTGGTGAGCTCCATCTGGTTTGGACCGAAGCCACGGGAACATGGCGCTATTGTACGACGGGTCGGACGTCTGCAGTGAAGTGCGGGCATCGACCACGTCCATAGCAGCGATACTGCTCCCAATAGAGTCCTCCAGGTCGATCACCTGCCGCGTCGTGCGGTTGTACAGGACCTCGAGCTCCTCTTCTGGTGGCAGCTGTTTCTGACTCGAGCGCTGGATCGTCTTGGCTTGAACCAAGAGCCACTTGGCAGCCTGGCGCGGGTCACACGGGATGTCGTACGTCTGTGTGCGTACAAAGAGCCTGTGGAGGAACAAGCAGTTGAGTTGGTTAGTGACGACTGTCTTGTCGTTTGTATGTAGAGGTGGACGAGGTGACGAAAGGAGAGCCAAGTGGACGTGGGTGGAGGAGGAACGTACCGGACGGTGAGACTTTCGCCCATACTTTTATTCGGTTTAGTGGCTTCGAGCGCTGCTGCTGTGGTTTCGAGTGGCGACTTTAGAGTGAGAAAGGGGGCAAGGAAAAGCGCTTTTTTTTGGGAGACATGATGAAGGGGAGGGAAGATCTCGCTGAAAAAAGTGAGCGACTTGTTTTTTTCTGTCAACTGATGTGTCGGACGCGGGGATGGATCTCTGCGGCGCCTTACATTATCTAGTGAGACCTTAAAACGATAGCTTTTTAAGCAATTCAATGAGCGGTCTTGGAGTTTCGGAATCGCCACGAACCTAGAAAATGGTCGATCCGGATATTCGACGTTGTCTCCACAACGGCACCTCTCTCCGTACGCCTTGACCGACACGACGCCATCTTCGAGGAACAATCATATGGATCCAGATTTTAGAGAACTCAAATCCACCCACCCAACGCACCCGCTCTCTAGTTCAACTATCCAAAAAAGCTTCCATTCGCCACCTATAGAAATATCCACCGCCAAGTCCCATTTTGCAATGGCAAACCCGGCCCTTGGCTTGCAGCGGGGCTCGAGTCGGATGTAGTGAAATGGAGAATGAATGTGTTGAAGAGGAAGGTTACACTTGGTAGGCTAGTCTAGTGTAATCATTTAAAAAAAATTGAGCAATCGTCTTGCGTCAGGCGCAATTCAAGGATGATCTCGCAGGTCATATAGATAGACCACCCATGTCATACTTCCCCATGATATGTGAGAGTTGGCACGGAACAACGTGGCGGATGTTCACACATTTTTCGTTATCCCTTATCCATGTTGACAGTGCTGTTGCTGTGAACTTGGTGAATAGCAAAAGGTCCGATGGCCACTGCGTGCAATTTTGCACTGAACTTCTCGGGGACGCGTTGTAACGGGGTGTATCGTTACATAACAATTCATAAGAAATTGTTGATAGAATAAAACTATAAGAGTTAAATTCTCAGAAAATTGTCATAAGGACAAATATTCTGTAGCACTTACGAGTAGTTCCTAATTGGTTGATATAGGCCATTATATCAACCAACGAAGACGCGCCACGACAGACGCACGCAATGAGTGGTGAGCAGATAGTTGATATGCACATTTGTATTCAGACATAGTTAGATGAGGATAAACAGTGATTTATTGCAGACATTGACTATGATAAATACAGTTCTACTTTTTACTTAAACTGTAACGGGGCACCCTGAAGCTTGTACTGGTGACTATACAAGATACTTATTCTGATGACAGAATAAGGCGGTGCCTCGGAACTTCACGTACACTCGTGCGTGCAAAGGAAGACGGTAAGAAGAAGCGAGTATGTAACGGGGTTGCACGAAATTATGGTACATTGTACCAGGGGTGTTACACACCTGAGGTTATCCCTTTGTGAAGGTGATATCGAATATCTTATTGGTTTGTAGGGGCTGACGAGTGTCAGCCATTAGGTACGAAAGATCTTTGAGTAGGATTAAGATATTCTATAGGCTTTAACAAAATAAAATCAGTTCCCATTTTGATCTGGAGGACACGTGGCTTGCGAGCCGTCTTGATCGTTGATTACTAATCACTAAGAGCTAGCGACACCTCCTTGAGGTAGCTACTCTTGAGCACTGAGTGCTATCGATTCACTGAATCGTTAGTTCCCCCTGGAACAGGGATCTGAAGCTGTAAAGCTTGTTGACTCGTAAAGTCGTTAGTTCTTTGGAGCTAAGTTGCTCGTAGAGCATAAAGTCTTCCTCTGACTTAAGGGGCTGTGTAGCTCCGCTACACTTGGTAGCACTAGTATTCAATCTACACCTGAGTCTTTAAGACTGATCCTCTGTGGGGATGGAAAACTCCACTCCCCTATCTGAGGCCCAAAAGGTCGCGCTTGATAAGCTGACCGCATCTTTGGGTCCAGAGTACGTGGAGTTCCTTGTTTCACAAGGTCCTGAAGTGCTTAATGCACGTGTTGAAAGCTTCATGCAGTATGAAGCGACCCTTTTAGGGCAGGTCCAAGACCAAATAGCGTCGGCTATGCCTACACGCTACGTGTCTGTACCAGACGAAGAGGCTAAGCCTCGTCCACTTAGAGTGGAAGTAAAAAACTACTCCGGTAAGGAGGGTGAGAACCTCATCCTCTGGATCCGTGAGATCGAGATGGCCATGAGATCAGGTCTGATCACGCTTGACCATCAACAGGTCTCGCTGGCTATCTCGAAGCTCGATGGTAGAGCTAGAGAATGGGCCTTGACATGTAGCACGTCGGTGGACATAGCGTTTCCCACATGGGAGTCGCTCAAGTCACAATTGGTACAGGTGTTTTCTCCACCTGACCAGGCTTACCGCGTGCGTTCACGCTTTCTTTCTACCCGCCAGGGTAAAAATGAACTATCGGACTATGTCCAAGAGCTGCGAACGCTCATGGCTGCAATGCAGTCTGACCCTCTGCCTGAAGCAGTCCATGTGACTATCTTCATGGAAGGTCTACGTACTGGCATTGCCAGAACCGAGGTTTTTCGGGTTCACCCCTCTACGTTTGAAGAGGCTGTGAGAATTGCTCTTAATGCTGAGCATAACATCAAGTTGGCCAAACTTGGTTGGAATGGATTCAATCCTCGCTCTGTGAGATCAAACTATTCGGGTACCCCTGCCTATAATAGGCCGGAACCGATGGATCTCAGCTATGCTGAAGATGGAGGTGAAGCTGAGCTTCAAGCTGCTGAGCAGCAACACGTCGTAAGACGATGTTTTACTTGCGGAAGCACTAAACACTTGCGGCCTGGTTGCCCTTTGCATAAGCAATGCCAGGCTACGAGCCAACACTCGACCCCGAGTCAGAAGTCTGGCATGGCACGGGGAAATGCCGACACCCAGTAGGCGCGGGGCGCCCTACTGGGGAAGAACTATTTTCTGTTACACCTTTAGAAGGTAAAGGAATACAGGGCTTAGCCCCAAAGAGTACCATACGTACAGGTATGGTGCGTGGATACAAGTCTGGCTTGTTGGTTGCCGAGGCGAAAATTAAGGGCTTTGAGAAGCCTTGGTCGATATTGATCGATTCTGGAGCGTCTTGCAATTATGCTCGACGCCGTTCCCTCGAGGGAAGTCAGCGTTATTCTGAGGCGCTTACAGCGCATGAGGGTGATTCTATCCCGGTTCGTTTAGCGACTGGAAGTCGCGTAACTGTGCCTAAAGTTCCATTGAACTTAGGTATAAAGTTTTTAGACTTTGACAGTATTGAGCGCTGTCTTGTCCTAGATTTAGACTCGAGATATGATCTCATCCTAGGTATGGCTTAGCTTGAACGCCAAGGGCCATGGATTGATTGGAGGTCCAAGACCTTAGGCGCTACGCGCAATGTTCCTGGCGAAGCTTTGGAGAGTCATGAACCCACCTTCGCTAGAAAACAGAAGCGCTATTGGCGCGAGCCTTTGACAGAAGATTTCTATGTGCTGGATATTGGAGTGTCTGAGCTATCTATTTCCAATTTTACAAACATAAGTTTTGAGCCTAGCTCGTCTAAAACGATTAAAACGGCACGTCTTCCCTTGAGTGTTACTCGTTGTGACAACGAGTCACCGCATGCTGAAAGCATGGTTGGACTAGGGCCGAGTGATCAAGGATGCGATTCCTTTGATGTGAGTGTGGGTGGCCGTGAGGGCACCACACCTAATGTCAGTAGTAACATTGTTGGCGATACGCCATCTAGTGTGGGCGGCCGTGAGGGCACTACGCTTAACGTCGGTAATGGTGTTGTTGGCGATACGCCGTATAGTGTGGGCGGCCGTGAGGGCACCACACCTAATGTCAGTAATGACATTGTTGGCGATACGCTGTATAGTGTGGGCGGCCGTGATGGCACCACGCTCAATGTCAGTAATGATATTGCTGGCGATTCGCCATATAGTGTGGGCGGCCGTGAGGGCACCACACCTAATGTCAATAATGATATTGTTGGCGATACGCCGTATAGTGTGGACGGCCGTGAGGGCACCACGCTTAACGCCGGTAATGGCGTTGTTGGCGATACGCCGTATAGTGTGGGCGGCCGTGAGGGCACCACACCTAATGTCAGTAATGATACTGTTGGCGATACGCCGTATAGTGTGGACGGCCGTGAGAGCACCACACCTAATGTCGGTCAAGACAAAAGCTCTCGTATAGAGCGTACTATGGTTGGTAGTAACCATGGGGACAATATTGTCCTGACCCCTAAGGGGTGTAAGGTCTCGAAGAGACGATCGAGACGCCGGGTAGCCACTTTTAAGCGCCAGGCGTCCTCACAGTCACATAGTGATAATAGTAATACACTATATACACTTGTTAATGGAGTGACTGGTCGGGTTGATGGCAGTGTTTGCCTTGAAACCCTTCCATCCGTGGACGCTCTTTGTGAGCTAGACGAAATGTCTGATGGCGAGTTTAGCCAGGCCTTAAAGGCAGGAGAGTTATCCGAGTTAGCGGTCATTAGACCTAATACTGAGTTGAATTCTTCCTCGTTAATGGATGAGTCTGTCCTAGAGGATACAAAGGCGGTACTTATTGCACGAAGTGGATCTTTGATCCTTAAAGATCCTTTGGATCCGTTCAATCCTTTAGTTGAGGAATTTCAAGATGTGGTGTGTCACAACCACCTTCTGCCTCACCTCCCGATAGAGGTGTACGTCATGAGATTGACTTGGTTCCTGGAACTAAATACTGTGTAACACGGCAGTGGCCTTTGCCTAAATAACAGTGTGACGTCATTGACGAATTCTTTCGTGCTAAGCACGCGGCTGGAATGGTTCGTGAGAGTAAATCTCCCCATTCAACACCGACATTTTGTGTCAAAAAGCCAAATGGCAAGTGGCGTATTGTGCATGCTTATAATAAGCTTAATGCAGCCACTATACCGGCGCAGAAGCCTATTCCTAGAAAGGATGTTCTTCAGAACAATATGGCAGGATGTACATTGTACAGTGCACTCAACTTAGTCGACGGTTATTGCCAACTGCTCATGCGAGCAAGTGATATTCCGCTAACAGCGGTGAGTACTCCGAGCGGTATGCTCTGGGAGTGGCTCGTTATGCCACAAGGGCTATCTAACGCCCCGGCTACATTTTACCGGTTGGTAACGCAACTATTCAGACCTCATCGAGGCTATGCACAAACGTAGTTTGATGACATTTTTGTCCATAGTTGTGCAATGAATGGGAGATCAGATGTGGATAACCACATCGTTCATTTAGGAGCGGTGCTCGAGTGTATGCGAACGAATAAGTTTTATGCTAACGCATCGAAGTACATCTTTGGTGCAGAAGAGATTCCCTCTCTAGGGTGCTTCATTGGGAAGCGAGGCCTTCGAGCGGATCCCGCTAAGGTAAAAGCCATAGTCGATTGGCCAGTCCCCAAGAACCAAAAGGACTTGCGTAAGTGGCTTGGCCTTGCCAATTACTTACATAAGTACAGTGCAAATTACGCAGACACGGCTAGGCCATTATCCAATCTCCTTAAAAAGGATGTGGGTTGGTGTTGGGGTAACACCGAACATAATGCTTTTGAAGCAGTTAAGGAGAGTCTCCTTCATGCGCCAATATTGGCTTTGCCCGATTCTGGTCGGCCTTTCAGTGTCGTCTGTGACGCATCTGACTTTGCCATAGGCAGTGCTCTGTTACAAACCGATGTCGACGGACGCGAACGCGTCATCGCATTTGAGTCTCGACAGCTGAAAGCTGCCGAAAAGAACTACCCTGTTTATGACAAAGAGCTACTTGATACGAAGTACGCTCTAGTCAAATTCAGAGTACATCTGCTTGGCTCAAAGCCGTTTGTGGTCTATACAGATCATGCGTCATTACGCACTGCGACACAGTCGCCTCATCTCTCACAGAAAATGGCTCGTTGGCTTTCCTTCTTTGCCGAACATAACTTCGAGGTGAAGTACAAGCCAGGTAAGCAAAATGCTTTGGTTGATGCGCTATCGCGTCGACCTGAATATGAGCTTGCTCATGTTACGACTCTGTCGTCGTCGGTCACTGACTTAATCCGTGCGGCATATGCCAAGGATGAACAGTGTGTAGCTTTGCTACGGGCTCTTGGGAGCGATGAGTTTAAAATCTCGGACATAGAATTGTCGGCACGTTTACGTGCTAGGCTACATCGAATTCCCTCGATAATGGCCTGTTATGCTATCGCACGGATATTGAGGACAACCCTCGTATCGTTGTACCTCATGATGAAGAATTAAAGTATCGGATCCTCTATGAGGCACATGATACTGCTTTAAGTGGTCATCTCGATCGTGAGAAGACTTATAGCTCGGTGAGCCAAAGTTATTGGTGGCCCAAACTTTATAAGGTGGATCGCACCTATGTGCGTACGTGCGAAACGTGTCAACGGGTAAAACCCTCGGCACATGCGGCGGCGCCGCTGGCTAGTTTGCCAGTACCCACTGGTTGTTGGGAGTCCATGAGCATGGATTTTGTGTTTGGCCTACCGAAAGATTCGGAAGGCAACACTGGTATTGTGGTCTTTGTTGACCGATTGAGAAAGATGGCTCACTTAGCGGCTGTGCCGGATAGCATCGATGCTGAAGGTACAACAAAGCTGTTTATCGACCGTGTGTTTCGCCAACATGGCTTGCCTGTGTCAACTATCTCAGATAGAGACCCCCGCTTCACTGGGAAATTTTGGAAGTCTATCTTCAAGGTGCTTGGCACTCGGTTGGACATGTCCACAGCGGATCATCCGCAGACCGACGGTCAAACTGAGCGCGTAAACCGCGTCATCACCGATATTTTGCGCAGTATTTGCGCTGATACGCCTAGGCGTTGGAGCTCAATGCTCCCTGTTGTTGAGTTCGCGTTAAATTAAGCTGTTCATGCCTCAACAGGCTTTACTCCGTTCCATATAAACGGTCTCACCCACCCTCGCGTTCCGTTAACGCTATCACTACGTGAATCAGGGCTTGGTGGGGGAGAGGTTGCCGATCGGCTTGCTGATATCAGCCCTGCTACCGTCCAAAAACAGGTAAGCGAGTTTCTCGCAACGCGATTAAATGTCTTAAGACATGTGCGTGACGCAATGGCTGATAGCCAAGATACCCAAAAACAACAAGCTGATGCCAAAGGCTGAAATTGTATTGAACGTTATGAGGTCGGAGACCAAGTACTACTTAATGCTAAAAATCTACCTACAAATGTAGTGTCTGCTGTCTTTAAGACAAAGTTGCGTCCATGCTTTATTGGACCGTTTACGGTCACGGCCAAGAAGGGACTTGCGTATACCTTAAACCTTCCGCGCAAATTGCGCACACATCCAGTGTTTTACGTAAGCTTACTTAAGCCGTACCGGGATCCTTCCCATGTGAACTTGGGGGCGCTTGCGCCGACGACAAGGGCACTGCCCCGGATTGCTGTAGACGAATCAGCAAGTCCAACTGAGCCTCGCTCCGAGTTTGAGATTGCTTCATCGCCTGAAGGCGGCTTTGCATCGCATCCAGCATGCACTGGGACTTACCCAAGGCCTCTTGAAGACCCTTCACTTCGAGAACCAATTTCTCGTGGGCCTCCACCGGTACACCGGCCGCCACCGACTTTGATCGATGAGCATGGGTGTCGTCAATTTCATGTCGAGAGACTACTGAAACGACGTCGTCGTCAGGGCCAATACCAGTATTTGGTTAAGTGGCGTGGGTACCCTGAGTCTGAAAACTCATGGGAATTTGAGGTACCCCTTCAGCAAGACTGCCCATATGCTTTAGAGGCTTTTGAGCATCGTGGCCATGGTCGTCTCGAGGCCGAGGCCGTTACCCACCACTAGTGGTGCGGGTTGGCGGGTTGTTGGCCACAGACTGACCAGCACTCGCGGCTAACTTAGTAGCCGAAGCATAGCGCGTGCGCTTGCGCAATTGGCCTCTGGCCTTAAGCTTGGCATAATCATACTGAAGCTTGCGTTCAAGACGCACGTCATCCACACTGGCACTAGCCCTTAGAGCAAAAATGTGGCTGAGGCGACGCACATATTGCACCCAGTGAACAAAGGCATCGTCTTCTTCGCTCACTTTTTCGCCTGCGAACAAGAGAATGGGTATACCCTTGATCGGTGGAACCGGTGTACCACGCGCTTGCATATCAAGGCGTGCCTTTTATTGACTTTGAGTCGTTAGGTGCGGCTCCAGGTACCTCTCGCGAAGTGCCTGGCAGCTCACAACCTCCTCAGGAGTCTTAGGCCCATGGCCAATGACCCACGTTGCCAATGTTTGGCCGGCCGCTTGACGTAGACGTTCCTCCACACTGGGTGGGGTGAACACATAGTCACGCTGGCGTTCAAGGGTTGTAGCCATTTGTACATGACGCTGAGCGTTTTCTTCTCTTTGAACAAGCAGTTGTTGTTGCTCATCGAGCGGGTTCGTGATGATAGTCTCATCAGACCCAGACGCTGCATACTGCGCTGGTGGCGCGCTCGCACCTCCACGTTCAGCAAACGGATTTGGGGTGTTCGAAAGTTGTGCCTCAGGCATCAGTGAGCCGGACATTGTCCCTGTATCACCGCGGACACTGGTATCGCTACCATAGTCCACCTCCTCCTCTATCCCGAGGTAGTCACACAGAGCCTTTGACTCGTTTGGTGATGAGGACATCGTGCTGGAGCGTACGTTACCGTGAGGTTCACCGTACGCGCACTGTTCTCGCTGAGAACACAAGTTCGATTGACGTTTTGGCAAACGTCAGTCTGGTGGGGGAGGGTGTAACGGGGTTGCACGAAATTATGGTACGTTGTACCAGGGGTGTTACACACCTGAGGTTATCCCTTTGTGAAGGTGATATCGAATATCTTATTGGTTTGTAGAGGCTGACGAGTGTCAGCCATTAGGTACGAAAGATCTTTGAGTAGGATTAAGATATTCTATAGGCTTTAACAAAATAAAATCAGTTCCCATTTTGATCTGGAGGACACGTGGCTTGCGAGCCGTCTTGATCGTTGATTACTAATCACTAAGAGCTAGCGACACCTCCTTGAGGTAGCTACTCTTGAGCACTGAGTGCTATCGATTCACTGAATCGTTAGTTCCCCCTGGAACAGGGATCTGAAGCTGTAAAGCTTGTTGACTCGTAAAGTCGTTAGTTCTTTGGAGCTAAGTTGCTCGTAGAGCATAAAGTCTTCCTCTGACTTAAGGGGCTGTGTAGCTCCGCTACAGAGTGTTTGTTTAAAGTAAAAAGTAGAACTGTATTTATCATAGTTAATGTCTGTTAATAAATCACTATTTATCTTCATCTAACTATGTCTGAATACAAATGTGTAAATCAACTATCTGCTCACCACTCATTGCGTGCGTCTGTCGTGGCGCGTCTTCGTTGGTTGATATAATGGCCTATATCAACCAATTAGGAACTACTCGTAAGTGCTGCAGGATATTTGTCCTTATGACAATCTTCTGAGAATATCACTCTTGTATTTGTATTTATTAACAATTTCTTATGAATTGTTATGTAACGATTCACCCCGTTACATCACCCCCCCTTAACTATCAGTCACTTTAGTGACTGATTGACTAAATGGATACTCGTCCCAAATCATTTGGGACAGAGTTTGCATTTGTTGGTCCGAGTTCACTTTCCAACAATTCATCGCATGGTTAACAAGCCCATGCGATGCGCGAGCAAGGCCGCCGAGAGCGCGTCCGCACGTCTCTGTGCGGACGCCGAAGCAGAAACCGCAGCAACTGATGTCTCATCGGTTGCTGGAGCGACTCAGCCTGTGTCACCTGGTGATGCAGGCGCTCGTCATGAAGACACTCATGTCTTCACAGAGTATGAGCTCGGTGTCTCGTACTCTCCTGATACGGAAGACGGATCTGTATCGACGGCGATCAAATCCAAGCCGCCTGCCAAGCGTGGCATGGATGATGCTATGCGTCGCAGCATCTTTGGTTCATCTGATGAATCAGATGAACCATCGCCGAAGCGAAGGCGCTCGAGGTCGCGAGACTCGGGCGCTAACAGTGGTGTCGGTTCTCCTACTGACACCACTTCGCAACGAGGTGCCAGTCCTTCTGTCGGCACGTCGCAAGAAGAGCGGGACCGCAGTGTGTTGCGTCTCGCTCCTGAGAAGAAGGCATGGCTGCCTCCAAATTCAGTCATGGATCGCGACGACAAGTGATCGCTATCTAACACGATTGTTCGATTCGTCAAGGATCCATCCCCTTGACCCCAGTACGAAAAACTATCACACTGAACATGAGTTCTTCATCAATGCTTTCTTTCGACATCGATGGTACAGTGGGAATCACAAACGCGATGGTCCCTCACTGCTTCAAGCTTGGAACGCCTACATCCATAACCTTGAGGATGTAGGTCGTGACGTTTGGAACGACAAACTTACCAATGACCCACGTTGCCAATGTTTGGCCGGCCGCTTGACGTAGACGTTCCTCCACACTGGGTGGGGTGAACACATAGTCACGCTGGCGTTCAAGGGTTGTAGCCATTTGTACATGACGCTGAGCGTTTTCTTCTCTTTGAACAAGCAGTTGTTGTTGCTCATCGAGCGGGTTCGTGATGATAGTCTCATCAGACCCAGACGCTGCATACTGCGCTGGTGGCGCGCTCGCACCTCCACGTTCAGCAAACGGATTTGGGGTGTTCGAAAGTTGTGCCTCAGGCATCAGTGAGCCGGACATTGTCCCTGTATCACCGCGGACACTGGTATCGCTACCATAGTCCACCTCCTCCTCTATCCCGAGGTAGTCACACAGAGCCTTTGACTCGTTTGGTGATGAGGACATCGTGCTGGAGCGTACGTTACCGTGAGGTTCACCGTACGCGCACTGTTCTCGCTGAGAACACAAGTTCGATTGACGTTTTGGCAAACGTCAGTCTGGTGGGGGAGGGTGTAACGGGGTTGCACGAAATTATGGTACGTTGTACCAGGGGTGTTACACACCTGAGGTTATCCCTTTGTGAAGGTGATATCGAATATCTTATTGGTTTGTAGAGGCTGACGAGTGTCAGCCATTAGGTACGAAAGATCTTTGAGTAGGATTAAGATATTCTATAGGCTTTAACAAAATAAAATCAGTTCCCATTTTGATCTGGAGGACACGTGGCTTGCGAGCCGTCTTGATCGTTGATTACTAATCACTAAGAGCTAGCGACACCTCCTTGAGGTAGCTACTCTTGAGCACTGAGTGCTATCGATTCACTGAATCGTTAGTTCCCCCTGGAACAGGGATCTGAAGCTGTAAAGCTTGTTGACTCGTAAAGTCGTTAGTTCTTTGGAGCTAAGTTGCTCGTAGAGCATAAAGTCTTCCTCTGACTTAAGGGGCTGTGTAGCTCCGCTACAGAGTGTTTGTTTAAAGTAAAAAGTAGAACTGTATTTATCATAGTTAATGTCTGTTAATAAATCACTATTTATCTTCATCTAACTATGTCTGAATACAAATGTGTATATCAACTATCTGCTCACCACTCATTGCGTGCGTCTGTCGTGGCGCGTCTTCGTTGGTTGATATAATGGCCTATATCAACCAATTAGGAACTACTCGTAAGTGCTGCAGGATATTTGTCCTTATGACAATCTTCTGAGAATATCACTCTTGTATTTGTATTTATTAACAATTTCTTATGAATTGTTATGTAACGATTCACCCCGTTACATCACCCCCCCTTTAACCATCAGTCACTTTAGTGACTGATTGACTAAATGGATACTCGTCCCAAATCATTTGGGACAGAGTTTGCATTTGTTGGTCCGAGTTCACTTTCCAACAATTCATCGCATGGTTAACAAGCCCATGCGATGCGCGAGCAAGGCCGCCGAGAGCGCGTCCGCACGTCTCTGTGCGGACGCCGAAGCAGAAACCGCAGCAACTGATGTCTCATCGGTTGCTGGAGCGACTCAGCCTGTGTCACCTGGTGATGCAGGCGCTCGTCATGAAGACACTCATGTCTTCACAGAGTATGAGCTCGGTGTCTCATACTCTCCTGATACGGAAGACGGATCTGTATCGACGGCGATCAAATCCAAGCCGCCTGCCAAGCGTGGCATGGATGATGCTATGCGTCGCAGCATCTTTGGTTCATCTGATGAATCAGATGAACCATCGCCGAAGCGAAGGCGCTCGAGGTCGCGAGACTCGGGCGCTAACAGTGGTGTCGGTTCTCCTACTGACACCACTTCGCAACGAGGTGCCAGTCCTTCTGTCGGCACGTCGCAAGAAGAGCGGGACCGCAGTGTGTTGCGTCTCGCTCCTGAGAAGAAGGCATGGCTGCCTCCAAATTCAGTCATGGATCGCGACGACAAGTGATCGCTATCTAACACGATTGTTCGATTCGTCAAGGATCCATCCCCTTGACCCCAGTACGAAAAACTATCACACTGAACATGAGTTCTTCATCAATGCTTTCTTTCGACATCGATGGTACAGTGGGAATCACAAACGCGATGGTCCCTCACTGCTTCAAGCTTGGAACGCCTACATCCATAACCTTGAGGATGTAGGTCGTGACGTTTGGAACGACAAACTTATCAAAGCTCGTGATAAGTTTGAGAAGCGAACCCCGACAGGTGCACGCTACAAGCTGCATCGTATGTCTAGGGAGAAAGGGTTACCCTGCCTCTCCTGGGGAGACTCGTGCCCATGTTGTGTGAACAACTCTGCACGAGCACCTAAGGAGGCTTACCTCCTTACCAGCCCGTGGTGGCGCGTACGTATCTCTAGTGAGATGTACGAAGGGATTGACAACCTGAAATCCCTTTATGACCGTGCCGGGAAGACTTTCTCCGGCGGTCCTTCTGCGGCACAGGATGTGCCGCGTCGTACTGCTCGACCAGACCCAGTACGTCAACCATCAGTTGGGAGCGGGGCTCCCAAGTATCCCAGGACGGGGGATAGCCGCGCCACCGGACGAGATAACTCGTCCGACGTCCGTTCACGTCGCGGTGGTTCAACAGCTGCTCAACTGGATAGCGCTGGCCACCGCGAGAGTCCTCTAATGGAGGTGGAGGAGGAGGAAAGACGCTCTCCACACGATCATGTGGATCGGTGTGTTCCCGAGAGCTTCTTTGATCGCGTAACGCAAGGGTTACGCGGCGATCTCGAACATGAGCGGAATAGGCGTCTCCAAATGG